TTCCACGAGAAGTTTTCCGAGAGTGTTTTGCAAGTTCAGGAGGCTGTTTATTCGCTCTCGAAACAGACTTGTTTTGCCATCGTTGTGCCCTGCAAGCAAGAATCTCCAAGACCGTCCAAACGGCAAGGGCTTTGTTCGGACTGTCGCAGCGCGACCTGATGATGCCAGGGCCAGGGAGACATGAAGATCCCGGAGTTGGCCAGGCGGAGTTCGAGCAGATCCACCGTGGTGTTTTCTTTGGTGCTCTGCCAGGTGTGGTTCGGATTCGATATTTGGTGAGAAGTCTAGCAACATCAGCCGGTGCCAGTAGGAGAAGCTTTTCCTTGGAGGAAGCGCCTGCTGCTCTGCGCCGGCATCCTCACTGCGGCGCAAAAGATCTTGTGCGGTAGGAACTAGAGCATCTAGAGCCTTACTTCCGCTGTTCTTCGCGCTGCGCTCGCTGAAGCCGCTTTTGTATCATACAAGGGCACACATTGACACAGATTGTCACATCGTTCCCCAGAAAAGGACCGCAAGCGTCCCCAGCCGTTTGCTGTGAAGAAGCAGAGGCATCACGCCAAGAGCGCCTTTTCGATTTTCATCGCAAAAGAACTGCAGAATGCCACCAGCAAGACGTAGGAATGGCAGTGTTTGGCTGTGGCGCCCACTTCCATGCCGAAGAAGATGCGCCCGGCGAGTTCGTCGAGCCGGCCGAAGTGGCGAAGTGGATCGATGAGGCCACGTGCATCGCAGTGGACCCCCGGGCCGCAATGAGCTCGATACAGGTTGGGTTGAAGGACTCTGCGTTGCACTCTTCAAGTCTCAGGGCTCACCGGATGTCATAAGGTAGGACTGTGACCGCCAGGGCCCCTGTCATTTCTTCTGCTCCGGATCGGTTGCAACAGGTTGATGTCAGCTCTGTGCCCTGAGACTTCTAGGGGTTAAGCACAAGCCGTGCGCACTCTACAGCCCCTGCTGCAAGGACGTTCGCCGGGGGCTCGGTCACGTCCATCTGGCGCTCTTCACCCTTCAGTTGTGTTCCTATCGTCGATGCGTTTACCAGCAGGCTTGCTGCGCGTTCGGCTCGTGCAAGCTTGCTGTTCGGTCTTTCAGAGCCTCGCAGAGCAAACACGTGGAGCACTCGCTGGACACGTCGTCACGAAGATCAAGAGAAGGCCGAAGCCCCCCCCCCGCCCCCCCCCAACCCAAAGTCTGTGCGGGTGCCGAGGCGAAGACTTCGAGATCCAGGAGCGCGGCCCCCTTCCAGGCCAGGGACACAGAGGGAGTTGGACAGGGACGGGCAGTAGGGACGCGCTGCGAGAGGGGAGGGTCCTGAGCTGCAAAGCGCTTCCGGCTCTGAGGCGCCTTCCAGCTGTCCTCGGGCTCCATCATGTTCGCGAAGCCCGACCTGGTCGAAGCCTGAATTGCCGCTTCGGATCCGATGACATGTGGTACAGTGGGGTACAGTACTCCAGCAGTGGCTCCCCATGAGCTTCCAGGACAAGAAGCTGGAGTCCCTCCGGCGAAACAGCAAGCCCCTTGTGCTTCCCGGCCGCATGACGGAAACCATCGTCCACTCCACTCCGCCCTACGGTGCCTAGCTTCGAAGGTGCTACACAGACAAAGGCGTCGAAAAGAGTCGCTGCGGGGTCGTCTGCCAGTGGTTGGTGGTCGCTCGGTGCAGGAGCTTGGAAAGGCCGTGACCGGATTCATGTCAATTTGCCCTTCATGAAGCCGCAGAGCAAAAAGAGCCAACAGAGCCTCCAGAGTTTCTGTCTGCTCAGGATAAGGGCTTCCCGCCCGAGCGCCTTCGAAGGCTGAAGGGTGGACGTGATGCCTGGCACATCGGCAGAAGAAGGGGGCGAGATGGGGCGTCGAGGCTTTGCCCGCGGTTTCGGGGTTAAGCCGGTGTGTTAAGAGCACGAGAAACGAAGCTCGAATGAGCTGGAAGGGTTTGACCTTGGAGTGTGAAGCGAAATCTTCACAGAGTATCCTTGCAAGTGAACTCGTCAAACACCTCAGGCATCCGAATGAGTATCGTTGCACTCAGGCACGCAGAAGGGTACCCTACATGCATGCACCCTGGCAGCATCGTAGCGGGGTCGAAAGACATCAATCAGAAGGACAATCAGACCCTGTGTATCTCGTTTCTGGCTTTCGGCCTTCACTTGAATCTATATGTTGTTCAAGTTGTTCGTGTTCGAGTCATTTCTCATTACTCATCGGCTTGCTTCCCTGTTCTCAGAAGAGTTTGATAGGATTGCATGCGGATAGACTCTCTTAAGAATGGCATGTGCAAAGGAGTGTGAAGCCTGCATTGGGATTTTGGCTGTCACAGGTATGGCGACGAGATGTGGCAGCTCGCTTCACAGGCGCAGCTGAGCGCTGCCCCTGTGGGCCCATCCCTGAGGCCCGTGTTCTTGCAAGGGAATGCAGGCAGGAACAGGCTTCGCCGTGGCTCAAGCTGTTTCATCGGCGCTGGTGTTCAGCGGATTGCTTTGTACTGCCACAGATGTCTTGCAGGTGGCATGTTATCGGCGGAGCCGACAAAGGAGGCTTTGCTTCTCGTGGAATTGAATCGGGATTCCAAGCTGGACTTCTGGTGAACACCCTCCAGCACCAAAGCCCGGCCCAAAAGAATACTGCAAACTTTGAGAGTTCCCGAAGCACACGAGATGACGCTGGCTCCTTCCGGCTTTGAGTCCTTGGCAGGCATCCTCGTCAGAGAAGGGGCCGCCTTGCCGCTGCCCTAACGTCCCTGTTGCAGTGTTGCAGTCATTTCCGTTCAGCAACTCCAAGGGCTCAGCGGCCAAGTCAAGCCCCGCTTGGTTAAGGACGTCACCGGCTTGCGACACACGGCTCACAACCGGCTCGGTCCTGGAGCAAGTGCAGCTGAAGGGCGAGCGCCGCTGGAACTCCATAGAAAACCTTCGGAGCTGTCTTGCTGTGTCTGTGTTGACATCTACATACCAAAAGCAGTATTTGGGTCAAGATGACATTTGATAGACGATGGATGACGGTCTATGCTTCTGATCGGTGCTGTTGGTCGGGACAGTGGCTGTTGTGGTGATTGCTGTGCTGGGTTCGAACAGATTAGATGCAGAGGGTATCGTGGAGCTCAGCGTGCCCTAAACCCTTAAACCCAGTTCGTGTTGGAGCCCTCATGAGACCGGGGCTTGGGAACTCTAAGGTTGGGGATTGAGGTCGTCCGCCGTTGGGTTTCGGGTCTGCGAATCTTGCGCTGCCAAGGACTTTGCTACAAGTGGCTTGGAAGCAGACAGAGAAACTGAGAAACCCTTTGGTCGGATTTCTTTGGAGAGGTTTGTCCATACCGGCAAGCCAGCCGAGGCTTCTGGAAGGCCGGTGACCGGGTGACGGACGGTGACTGAGACAGAGGAACGGTGGAGGCTTTGCTTTCCCAAGCTTCTTTGTCGGCAGGCGACGGCCCAAAGACCGGCTGGGTGAGCATCCGGTTGTCAGACAAGGAGCCACGCAACACCATCCCCTTCGGGTACGCACCTGTGCTTTGTAGACTATTGGAGACGATACGACTGCAGCTGTCCGAGCAATCACCATAGGTCGTCCCCGTGTGGTGGTCATACCATGAACTTCGGTTTTCGACGTCCAAGCCGCCAGACCCCTGTCTGGCACAACTCGGTCTTTCGCGGGAGGAGCTTTGTGTGCTGCATGAACAGTGCCCCCCACCACGCCTGCTGGACAGCGTGGTGAGGATCCGCCGCTTGGTGGCACTCACAGCCCAATCGACCTCCTGGTAGGATCTCAAGCAGAGACTAAAGCAAGCATTCGACTGACCCAATGTTTCGGCATGCGTCCATGTTGGCGCAGGGGGTCTTCAAAGTGATGCGGGAAAGGCACTGAACGGAGCCTCAGTTGCCAAGAGACCGCACAGAGATGCCGTTCCACGTCCGGCTATTTTGTGTCATGAGTCATGACTCATGGGAACTTGCCTGACTCGCCAGCCGTTCTGCGTTAATCGAAGGCCTTCAAAGTAACACTCAAATTTATCGAGCAAGACTTATCTTCCCTTGTGCCTCGACTCCTGAACTCGAACATCGCAGAACCCAAGTCAAGTCGGAAGTGTAGCGTAGCCGAGGACAAGAAGGGTTTGTGCAGTCCTTCGACGAAGAGAAGCAGCGGCTAGCAGGAGGCCCAGAAACTGACAGTCTGGGCCGGTTCCTCCCGCATCGGAAGCCATAAGTAGGACTCACAAAGACGGTTTGTGAAGTCTTAACCTGTGCACTCTCTTTCTCCCTTTGCTGGGGATCTCGGGATCTCTGTTGTGACCCAGTCTGTCATCTCACACGAGTGGATGAAATTGTCCATGCGAGGAATCGACTGCTCACACGCAACCCAGGTCGTGAAAGTCTATGCCAGCGGCAAGGAGCACGCACTGAAGGTCACGAATCTGATTCCGAAGCCCTAGTCGGGCTTCCCGAGGAAAAAAGAGCGTCGCGTGCGTCCTTTCAGTACAATCCGGGCACAAGCCTTCAGATCGATATTAAGGTAGCCGGAGAATCCCCTCTGCTCTCTTATGAAGTGGCTCGCTTCCTGTTGGTTCACGCAGTTTGTGGACGTGAATGCAGGTCAACACATCGATCGGGACAAGTCGTGGGTCGGAATCGCGGATGTACGACATACTTTGAGATGCACTACTTGCGATCCGGTTCGTGTTTCACTAGCTAGCATGCTGTCGCTGTCGAATACTTTTTGCCAATATTCCTGCGGAGCCACCAAGCCACCTGTGGCTGTGGATCGTTGCGAGACGAACTGGGATGCTGAATGTTCAGCGCAGTCGCTATCAAAAGAGCCCTTCACATATCCAACCATGAGATGTTTGTTGCCCCTCTGGGTTCGAACTGTTAGGAAAAGCCGAGGTTATGATCGTCTGCATTCTCACATAAATTTCGGGCCCGCATGTAGAAGGGAACTCATGCTCAAGATCACAGGGTGTTTCCAGATTACTGGGTTTGCTAGCCAAGCTTTGCCGCACTTTCGAAGCGATGGGGAATGTCACCAGCAGTTGTGGGGGCCTCTGACTGGAGTTGGAGTGTGACAAAACAGGTTCATGTTCTAGGTGGCCGCGATCTTCGGTGTTGTGGTCGCAATGCTGCATGAACAGTCAGATGGGTTGAAGTCTTGTGAACGCCTGTCTCCCTTCATGAGCAATGCTGTCATGCGAATCAAAAGCAACACGACCGGCTGCCAACAGCATCAGTTGATGGCTGTTCGCACTTATCACGTGCAGAGCCTTTGTGGCTGTGGCTGTGCGGCCACCCCGGAACTGCTTTGATCGTTTCGGCAGGTGCTAACCCCAGCACTCACCACTGCTGCCGGTGGACGGCAGAGGATGATGCCGAGCTCTCCGTGGAGGCCCCTGAGCCTGAGACCGGAAAGACAACCACCGGACCGTTCAACTGACTGCAGGGCCGGACAAGGAAATCCAAGACCGAGGCAGCGAGGGACAGGGTTTCTTTTCTTTCGCAGCGGGACAGTTGACAGTTCGCAATGGGGCTTTCAAGATAGGATATGTTCTTCCCGGGTTGTGGAAGCTGTGCAGGGTTCTTGAAACTTTGAACATTGTGGGATGGAAGATTTTGACAACTCGAGCGATTCGGAAGGACTGGACTTGGCTTTCAGTTTTCCACAGCCTCGTATTCGGTAAGGTTTCGTGTTGGAGGATGCATGATGCAGCCTTGGGGTCTGTTCAGGAGGAGCCTCGATTGAATTTCGACACGAATGTCATCGGCCCGACCAATGCTAACATCATCGGCGGCGGCGCGGGCGCTTCGCCACTGCAGGACCCAGGGTACAAAGCAGGTGCTGCCACGATAGACTGGTAAGCAAGAGGTCTTGTTCCCCTTGAGTATTCAGAGTGGATGTTCCACTTTGCCAAGGGCGCAGCATTGGCAACTGCCGGCTGGTGGTTTGTGCTGCTACTAGTGTTTGTCAGGGAAGGGCATGCATAATCGACGACTCAATTTTTCCCAAAACTGTGATGTGTTCTGGGTGGCTTGAATCCTGGATGTGCGTTGGCTGTGGACAGGTAAGTACTCACCGGTCGCCTCGTCACACCAACGAGTCCCGAGGATTGTTTTTATCTTTCCTTCAACTCCTCGAGACCTGGACCTCGCTGAATGAAATGAGATCCGTCGAGGATCAGGAGTGTCTAGAGTACGCGGCCCTTCTCTTGCACTCAGCCTGGTACTCTACTGAATGACTCAGGAGCTCAAGTTCCTGGAGGAGCGGCCTGCGCCCGAGTGCACAGAGCTCTGTGAAGCACGCTCTCTGGTGTGTCACACGGGCTCATGTAAAGCCCCCATTTCCAGAGATGGGGATGCAACTTTCGGGGCTCGAGCAACTGCATAACCGATGAGGTTTTCAGGAGGAGGAGGAGGAGTCCGGTCTGACAGGATTGTCAGTACCAAAAGTTTTGGCTACTGCAATCTACTGCATCAAGACTCCCTACTTGGTATTGCCAGCCCGAAAGTAGGGTCTCTGCTTGCCGTTGAAAGCGGCCAACACGTCCGAGGTCCTTCAAGAAAGACTGGCAACGAGAGCCCACACCGGAGAGGACGGGAATCGATTTCAACTCTGCATGGTGCAACGGCGACATCGCACGACTCACAGATGCGGTTCGAGCGAACAAGATAGGAATCAGTCCCGTCAACGGAACAACGCAAGCTCCTGTGCAACGTCCTGTGGACCAGGACCTCGAAGGACACCCAGAACCGGAAGGTTCCAAAACTGCAAGGCATAAGGTAGCATCTGGTCGTTTCGTGCAAGCTTGGGGCTTCCATGCTGCAGAGAGCGCCAAACAAATTTTTGCGTGCTGCTTTCATCTGCTTCGTGTCGCAAGAACGGGAACTTCGGAGATGCTGTCGGGGCGAGGGCGGGCTTCACCTTCAGCTGGCCAGAAGCCCTGAAGCCTCCCTCACGATTCCCGAGGCTCAGACGGCTGAGCTCAAAAAGGCCGCAAAGGCCTTTCAACCCAAGGCCAGGGCTCTTTTAGCTCATTAGATGCACGTGCCGAGCACGGAGATGCAGAGGCTGCGGCCAAGGGCGGCTTTCCCGTCAGCGCCAAGGCCAGTTTCGCACCGGAGAGCACCAGAGGCGAGGCGGCAGAGTGAGAGCGGCAGTGCTGCAGGCGAAGCCGAAGTCGGCGGACGTCTCCTCCGTCTCGATGTCCTCGGTGTCCTCTTCCAGCGTCCTGCCGTTGCTCGCCGAAATCACCTTCGGGAGGAGGAGGGCTCTTTGGGGTCCTTGCCGAGGTTCAGCAGCCCGGGCAAGTCACCTCCGCAAAAGGAAGAGAAGGCCGGTGGCTCGGGGAGGTGGGTTGCCAATTCCATGCTTTGCCGGCTTTTGATCCTGGTCCAGACGCGCGACTGGGGATGGATTTCTTTCGGGTTTCACTTTCGGTCCTGAAGCTGTCGCCTCCGCCTGAGGTCGTCAGTCCCAAGACGGCTGAGGATCGCGAAGTCCCAGCTGCAAAGCTCAAGGCCGTCCTGCCGGAAGAGCCGGAGAAGGCCGTGGAAGGAACCCAGCAAAGCGCAGCTGTCCCAGCGATCACTGCGCCGGCAAGCCCCAACCCATGCAAGAAGCTCATCCCGAGCCTCTCCCCAGCTCTTTGGTCGCCCATGCACCGCCGTTGGACATGCCAGAAGGCCCTCCAGGCGGAGCCTGCGGAGCCCGCGCAGCCCACGCAGCCCACGCAGCCCACGCAGCCCGCACAGCCCTCGCAGACCGTAGCCGCTGCTACCACGGTTGATGAGGCAGAGACCAACGCACAAGTGGAAGAGAAACCACAGCGCGTGCCACCAGTGTTGAGCCTTTGCAGCCCGCCTCCCGCACTCTGGTCCCCACTGCATCGCAAGTGGTGTGGCGCTGTGCTGAAGATGCAGCTTGCACAGGTCCCGACACTGCTCGTGAAAAAGGCAGTGCAAGGAGGACAAGCCAAGGCCCTGCAAATGGAGAGCGAGGCGGGGCTGGAGAAGGCCCAGTCCGAGCTGCTCGAGACTGTGAAGATGCAAGCCCAGGTGCAGCCCCCCTCCGAGGCCTTAAAGGCCCAGGCCCCCTGTGCCCCCTGCGCCCCCGCCGCTCGCATCAGTTTCTCTTCTGCCCCGGCGCTCTACTCCAAGTGGCACGGCCGATGGACAGGGTGCTTGCCTGAGCCTGCCAAGCTTGGGGCCTAGAGCACTTCGTCACAGCTGGGAGCCCAGACAACGCTTCGCTGTTTTGTTGTGAAGATGCTCGCGGCCTGAGCTCGAGCATCCGGGGATGTCCCAGGATGTCGCAGCGCCGCAGAGCCGAAAGTGATCAGCCCTGCCCCAAGCGCGTGAGGGCTGAGCCTCGGGCCTTGTACAGAACTGGGATTGCAGACCCGTCTTCCCCGACGCGAGTGCCCTTATACGGGCTTGTCGAAGCAATATCTGCAATCCCCTGGAATGCTATCACAGATTGCTCCTTGTAGTAGCCTCGTGCCCTCTTGCCACAGGCAAGGATGGGGATTGGCATCCGATCGGCCAGCATCATGTCACGACAGAGCTTTTGATCATCAGGTGTCTCGCTCAGGTCCAGCAAGGGGGCTTCATCCCTTTCTTAGTCCATCTCTGCCCCTTCTTCGGCTTGGCATGGACACATCGATAGCTCTTAAGCTTCTCTGTCTTTAACGGCCTCCACGAAGATGGGCAAAGCATTTTTTTTTGCGCTGCTGCAGCTCGCAGGGTCCGCAGCTGGGACTCTGCGTCTCGCAGCTGCGGCCTCGCGCCTCGCAGGCCTGACCTGGTCTTAGAGACTGGGCACCAAACCGAAACGGGAAAGTGCCCACCGATGGTCCATCCGGAGGGCCAAACAAGTTGCTCTCCGGGCAGGGCCCTAGCACAAGACAGCACCGGAAGGGAAGAAGAAGGGTGAAGAAGGGTGCGTAGCCGCAAAGCTAAGTCCAAGTACCAAGTTCTTCCCTTCGGCGTGACAAGCAAAATCCTACACCATCCTATACCCAGCTTCTCATGGCCGGGCTTAAACCCGTGTCGCTCTGTGGAGCCGGGTCTGCACTGAGCCGCAGGCCCCAGGCTTGCTGCGTTTAAGCACGGCCCCCGAGATCGGAGAGCTGTGGACTGCTTTTGAAAGAGGAGACACATTTCGCGCTTTGATCGTACCGAGGCCAAGCTAAGCTCCTCATGCGAATGATGCCGCGGCTTCGCTTGTGTCGAGTTGGTTCGATCAGCTGCAGTAGCTGCAGCAAGCAGACAGTAGTAGAGTTTCCGACCTCTCCTGAGCCCGAAGCGAAACTAGCTACTACGCCTTGAACGGTGACCAAGATAGCGTGTATAGGGGCTGAACAAGTCCGCCCTGAAATCCATTGCGGGCGCCAAGGCTTTTCTTAGAGTGACAAGAGCGTCAGCCCCTGCCGGCCTTCACGCCCCCCAGACCTCCACAAGACCCAGAAGCTTCGAAACCAAAAGGAAGAGCCATCTTAGAGTGCCAGAGTCTCTTGGGATGGTGACGGATGTGGACAGCCAGAGCCCTCGATGCGACAGAGCCTAGAGCCGGCGGGGGGGTTTTCCGCACTCACTGAGGTACGGGCGCGCCAGGACCCGGCACCATGCTGGAGGTCGTCGGGGCACTCAGTCGAGAGGAGTTCCGGTCAAGTTGATTTTGCGAGCAGCTTCGGCCTTGTTTGCTCTTAGAAACGGGAGGTCAGGCGGCAAGCGCCAGCGCTTGGGATTTCAGCTTCGGCTCAAAGTCGACACTACCCGCTCTGGCAAGATGAAAATGACCGGGAGAATAATTTCAGACCTTGTGCTGGAGAAGGCAGAGTGAAAGGGAGCTCTTCCACAAAGGTGAAGGAAGGAAAGGAATGCTTTCATGGATAAAGCTGAAAAGGACAACGGAAAGGCACTGGCAAGTTCGGCCACAAGGCGAAAGGAGCCTTCATGGACGAAGCAAGGAAGGGGACAGGCAAGTTTGGCTTTGGAGAAAGATATGCAGCAAGGACGAGAGATTTGGCGCACGAACCAGCAGCCGTGCAAGTCCTGGGCTTGGGTAGGCTTGGCAAAGAAAGATTTGGCGGTACGGGTTTCGGGGTTCAGGGCTCGGGGGCACAGAGGCTTCGAATAGGGCTTCACAGGTTCAGTTCAGGGCTCAACTTCCGAGGAGCGTTGGCACGCGGGCTGCGCACCAGTTGGGAGCGGTTTGGGTTCGGGGTTTGCATATGACAAGAGGCTTTGAATGAAGGCCTGAAGCCTGAACGTATCGGAGGGTGTATATGGTGCATATGCCCACACCCTCTATTGTAGAAAGAGAGAATTTTACACCAGGAGTTTTCTTCGCAGGCACCAAGAGGAGATAGGATTTGGTGAGGAGGCTTGGGCAATGAAGGGCAGAAGCAGTCAGTGGTTTCACGGCGTGGGTGAGCATTATGTTGGGTAAATGTTGTGAAGATTCAGGATTGTAGTGAAAGTGGCCCTAAGGCGACGTCGCTTTCAGAGCGCATGGGCGGCCAAGTGCCACTGGCGATGATCGCCCTGGACCCACAGGCGAAACTTGATCATCGGGTGCATTCTGTACATTCTGTACCCTGTACAGTCTGCTGTTACGAGTCGCACTTGTGGAGAAATCCCAAGCTCTGATCGATGAGAGGTGCTCGAGTATGGCCGGGCTCTTCTTGACAAGAAGGAGAGTGGCTTTGATTGGGCTTCCAGTGCGAATGTTGAGAGTTTGCCCTAACCCGAAACCCATGTTTGGGTTCCTGTGTGCCGTTTTCATGCGCCTTTGAGGAGAATTTGGGCCCCAGCAAGATCTCCTTGCGGCAGATCCTGGCCGATGTTCTCGAAGGTGGGAGTGTGGATCAGCACCGTTGGCTCACGGATTCTTTGAGCCTCAGACTGTTCGCGTCAGGTGCCGGCGAGGATCCCAAGCTTCTGATCGAAGATGCGGAGCCCTTTCCCATGGTACGCCGCTCCAGAAGCCGGGAAGCGGTAAGCAGATGTTAGCAGTACTCAGTACTCGTTATCGTATATAAGTTACTCATTCGTCCGTCCCCTATTTCAGACAGAGTCTACCCGCTCCTTGAACGTGCTCCTGCACACAGTGTTTTCGTGCTCGTCTAAGTTTATTGCTCAAGCGTGTGTTGAGCTGTTAACAGGATCAACCACATGAAAAGCATCACAGCGTCTGCGCACAAATACTGAGATACTCCGCTTTGCAGTTCGAGTTCAGTTGCAGAAACTGAGTCCCCTTAACAAGTGGATCGACGGCGCTCCAGAAGCTTGCGCCATGCGTATGAGTTTGTCTACTACACTGCCGGGCACGGCGCAGCAGGACAAAACCTCTCGAGACATGGCTTCCCCCCAGAGCCCCAGGCAGCTGATGTGTCGTCCGTTTCAGGCCTTGGGCTAGCTTCGGGCTCCCGGAATTCACTGTCACAGGGTCTGACTGCGCAGGATGCGTGCCCTGGGAAAGTCCGCCCGCGCGTCGGCGCCGCTGGTTCAGCTGGAGCTGCAAAGAGCGCGCAGCATCAAAAGGGTGCTGGCTGTGGTGGGTAGCTGAGCGGCCTTGGTGGACCGAGGGTCTGAAAAAACCGTTCGGGAGACCTTCTCGGGATTTAGAGGTACTCGTATCTGTTGTTCCTGTTGCGATGTTTGATGATGTCATGCCTGCTGCATATCCAAAGAAGTTGAGGCAAGTTCCACGGGTTGTAGGGTGACTGACGACAGACAGAGCTAGCCGAGACAAGCACTTCCACATCCTCGATGGCGGTCACGTGAGTCTGGCGCTGCAGAAGCTCGCGGCTCTGCGACTTGGCTCAAAGGCTCACAGGCCGCCGGCAGACCGGAGGCTGTGGGCATAGACGGCTACGCCAGTTGTGTCCGTCTTGCTTCTCAGCTGACTCTAGTGTATAGCAAACTCTGAGGCCCAGGGAGGGCTCTGAGAGCATCGAGCGCGAGCTCCTGGATCTGCTGTCCTCCTGGCTGCATCTGAAGCGGCCCCAAGCCACAGCTGGTTCGAAGCATTTCGAAGCTTTTCTTAGTCTTCCCATGCCACGTGAGGCACAAAGTTTCGCTTGACCTGCTTGTCTGCTTGTCTTTGCATTCCAGGCGACTGGTGGAGCATCATGCCGCCCAGCTGCCAGACAAGGCACAGCATACCAGCTTTGCCTTTGGGCGAAGCGTTCTCACAAGGCTGTTCCTTACCGCCCTAACTAGAGGGCCAGGGCGTCTTGTCGGGGAGAACGTTTCAGCGCAGAGGTTCGAATCGGTTCGAAGCTTCTTTGATTTTCCAGAGTGCAGAGTGACCCCGAAACCTGAGTTCAACAGTTTTGCTGTCCCCATGTACCCTGCTCACAGGAACTCTTGCGCTTGGCCAGGAGCGCTCGGGTTCTTGTTTTTTGGGTACAGCCGATGAATGGTGGAAAGATGCGGAAAGCGCAAAGGGCGTCGAGTTTGGGGTTCTCGTTGGTTTGGCGCAAGCGCTGCCCGTGAGTGTTGGACTGTTGGACCCAGATGTTCGCGACATGCGTGCTCTCTCACACATTCATGCTCAGACCCCGGTTTCGATGCCTGGGGACACAGACCCGCGAGACGTTCGACTCAGGCTCACCCTCCAAAACTGCACTCCACCTCCAAGGAGCCTTGTGGGCTTGGCCCGCCCCGACAATCCGGCCTGGCAGGCCATCGGCAGCGCGGTCGCGGAGAGGCTCCGAGTTCGCACGGAGGGTAAGGGAGGCGAATCAAACAGTTCCTTTATAATTCCGTTCCGTCGGAGCGACGAGCAACTGCCCCGTCACTGGCATCTCTGCATCTCTCCTTTCCTCGGAGGATCCCGCGCCTCGACACGGACCTGGCGCCGCTGCTCGCGGCGTTGGCGGCGGCGCGAGGCGCCGCGACGGAGGCGCTCGGAGGGCGAGACCTCACGGGCTGAGGGCAAGGCGGCTCAGGCGGCTAAGGCGGCTCGGTTGTGGGGCTACTGCCTTCACGCCCAGGCCTTCCGAGCAGCCGAGAAGCCAGAGGCTGGGGAGCCGGGGCGTTTTCTGGCTCAGAAGCTCTGTGATTCACGTTGCCGTAAGTGACGGTATTGCAGGTCGTGGCCTCAATGTCAGACGCCACGCTGGCTGGAGCATCTTGGCAGCAGTGCAAGGGCAAGCCAAGGCCGGGCAGGCTGTTGTCGGTGGGACGTACAGACTCGTAGACATGCGTGCGCTCTCGCTCTCGCTCTCGCTCTCTCGCTCTCTCGCTCTCGCTCTCTCTCTCTCTCGCTCTCTCTCTCTCTCTCTCTCTCTCTCTCTCTCTCTCTCTCTCTCTCTCTCTCTCACTATTTGGCGACCTCCGAACGGTCCACTCGTAGTCGTCAAAGCTCTCTGTGCACGAGTCCCGAGTTTTGGGTTTCTTGGTCTAGAGTCCAGTCGGGTCGGGATGATCCGTTCGCAAGCCGCATCATCGAAGCAGCAGCCTGGCAGTGTGTCACAACATTCGCTTCAAAACAAAGCCGCAGCGCACATACACCTCGAGGTTTTCCAGGTCTCAATAAATCAATGTACAAAAGCTCTCCCCGCAAACAACCCACGTACATCTGATCCTCTTGGCCTTCTTTCTGTGTAAAGGGTAAAGAATAGAGTCAATCTGAGCTGGAAGATGCATGGCGTTTAGTCATCTCGACGAGGTGTTGTCTGCCATGGTTGTCGTGACTTGGCAGCAGCACCTTGTCGGACGGCGTGCGCGGATCCTCGTGCATTGCAAAGTTAAAGAACCCGCATCCTTGGTTGATCTGACAGGCGTAGCTTCACTGAGGTGTAGCTTGGATGAGGCTGAGATGTCATCAAATTTAGCTCAGTAGCACAACGCCTTTTCGACGCCGTTGTTTTCATCTGTTTGCCTCCTGCAACGGTTATCCCGAGCAACGAGCCCAAACCTGGTTTCACGAGCACGGAAGGCAGGCTGGTGCAGATTGCTCGAAAAACCACGAGCCTTTAAAAGGAACAGAAGACTTAAACAGCTCAGCCCAACCCTCCACCAGGCTCGGCAATCGCCTGCCAGCGGTGCGCTGCTTGAGGCCGCACGGTCGAGGGAACTGGACTTCGAAAAGGTGAGATCTCTGGCAGGCGGTTCAGCGTCAAGAGTTTTTCTTTCCGCGGGAGTTTTGCTTTTGGAGCTCCAAGAGATCCTTTCTCAGCGAAGGCAGTCGCGGCCCGGACTCCGAATTTCGAAGAGGCAGTGCTGCGCCAGGTCGGCGGGGTGGGGTGGGGAGACTCTCAGACACTCTCAATTTCTTGTCCTACCAGGTGTCCGCTGCCCTGGCCAACTTGGGATCTGCCGGCGCTCCTTCGGTGGTGCCCAGGCAGAGGAACAAGAGTACTTGAAGTCTGAATCTCGTCCGAAGCGTTCTGATTCATGCTCGCGCTGGAAGTGGGGTCGCGCGGGCAGTCGTTGCCTTGTGCTATTGGAGTTTGGGCATCCAGCGTAACAAGATGACTTCGGCAAAGAAGAGGGGAGGCAGCAGCATTAGCAGCAGCCCAAGAACACCCGATTCGAGCCGCAGCAGGACTGGTGACAACGTTGAGTCAACACGACAGCTATTGATCAGCAGAAGCTCTTCGATTCTCTTTAGTCAAGATCATAGTGAATCATTCCTCCCGAAGTGTTTGAGATTGAAGCTTCACTTACACATCTAGTTTGATGGCAAGAAACGGAGCAAAAATCGCTTGCCCAGGCCCGACTCATGGAGGACCTTGAGCTGCGAAAACCGCAGAATCTCGAAACCTCCACGCAGATCGCCCTCCTCTGGGCGTGCGCCCGTGCGCCTGCACTGGATGCACTTGGTGCAGAGCGGCTGAGCCGAATGGCGGATCAGGTGTCTAGGCTGAAGGCTTAGGGCCTCGGCGGCCTCGGGCGAAAGCTTTAGAGTTCTTCGAGTCGAAGGCTTCGAAGCCCCAGAGCCCTCCCAGGTTGGCCCCAGGCTTTCCGAGGCCACGCCTGCGGAGCTTTCGCGGCTGTCTTGGGAATCTCGGCTCCGCTGGAAGGGCTCCGGCGCTTCCTCTAGAAGTGCAGCACCGACTTCCAAGGTGCTCGTGCAGGGCCGGCGACAATTCGGCCCGGAACCCAGACCTAGTTCAGCAAAGCAGTGCGGGTTTGCTTGAGCTGAACAGGGTTGCGCTGGTCTGTGCAAAGCCGCAGAATCTGAAGACAAGCTTTTCCAGTCAACGGATGCTTTCTGCCAAAGCTCGACCGTGAATGTTGACACTGATCTTGCTGCACTCGCACCTATCTGCATGTCATCTGCCTAAAAGCAAGACCATAGCAGGCTTTGGCGGTAGCTGTACGGCGTACGAGTGGTTCACAGCATTCTAGTCCGACGGTGCTGAGGCCCCATGGGAGTTTCATTTCTGGAGGCCGGAGCGGCGCAGTATGCTGCCTATTCATCTTTGATGCGAAGGGACTCCGCTGCGCATTTGTGCTGGTAGACTCAAAGCTTTGGCAGGCAGCCCTCAGCGAGGCCTCGGGCCCGAAAGGGTGTTCTTGGCGTTACCAAGCTTATTGATGCGAGGTGCGCGAGCGCCTTGGGGAGTTCAACAGCTCCCAGCTCTCCACGGTGCTCTGGGCTGCAGCGGAGGTCGCCGTGCAGGCACCAGGGAGCAGTCAAACGGTCGGTCCTACTCTGGCTTCACGGTTCTGAAACCTCAGAAAACGTTAAGGGGTTTTTCAAGCGAGTGGGGTTCTTGTGTTGCGGGAGCTCTAAACAGATTGATCTCCGAGTTGATCATGGGTACTTAAAGGCCCGCTGGGCTTAGTAAAAAGTTATCATGCTTAGTATTCGGTTGGTCGACTTAATAACTGACTTATCCCACTTAGCATAACTCCATTTAGCATAGATAGCTAAGTCAACTTATCGCTGCAGCTAAGTCATACTTACATAAGTCTGCTAAGTAAACTAAGTGGTTTCAGAGCTGATGGATTTGTGATATATAGACATGCAATTTCCAACCGTTTGCCTCCCAAAAGGGAACGTGTTATAGAGATATTTACACGAAGACCGCCATTGATTGCAGGGCTGCAAGCTCGCAGGCAGGTCTTTTTTTCTCATGGCAGCACCACGACAGCACTGTCGCCTTGCACACTGAAGGCACAAGTGGCATGGATATGCTTGGTTTCTACAAGGGCCACATCGTCCGACAGGGTGAACATGGCTCCATGCACGTGGTTCCAAAGAGTGACATGTGACCAGCATGTCCCATCTGCTTGGACGTGGTAGCCCACCCTGCCGACAAGCCTTTCACCATCCAGATGCAAAACCGCGAGGTCTTTTGCCGAAACTGTGAAGTTCCCTGCATGCACAGCCTGGTTTGCTGTCATGATCTCGCCCTGGATGTTCATGCATCGCCGGAGCTCGGCTTGGAGCTTGGCAGGGGCTGGTCGCACAGGCTGAACCAAGTGCACCCCTTCCTAAACTGCATACGACGAAACTGGAAAGAAAATGTTGTGAACCTTTTTATAACAACATCTATAGTGGTATATAGAAGAAATGAATGCATAATGCATACAAGCATCTCCTGGGAGAAAAGCCGGATCGGCGAGCTGCTGCAAATGCCCATGTAGCACATCATCGAGTATGCTCTTCTCAAAAGCCCGACTTGTGTCGAGTACTTGGTTGGTGATTTTCTTGATGATTTTGTGCTTTCTTTCGTGCACAAAGCAGCTCATCAGACCTGAGTGTTTGGCCAACTGAAGGGGCAAGTGGAGTGCCAAATGGCACTTGGGTACCCAAAAGGAGTCCTCACCGTAGCGGGTCTTAGCGAGGTCCAGATGGCCTTTCACCAAGACTTGCAGTTGGACTGCAGGGAAAGGATCTCCTATGGCGATTTTTTGCAAAGCATCGAGGACCTTGCACATCGCCAGCCAAACCTCGCATGAGTTTCTCATGTCCTCGCTGCATTGCGGCAGCACCCAGAGCACAAGATAGGTTCGCAGCACCTGCAGGAAGTTCAGAGCCTCCGATGCACTGCACTTGAGAGGATCACTGTAGGATCCTCTCTTTTGCAACACATCCTTCGGGGCAGCACCTCGCAGACGTGCAGGCCATGTGAAAGTCCTTGCGAACCGCTCAATGTCGTTGTGCTTCCAGCCATTGTGATGGAGGTCTCCAAGGAAAAGCCCTGTCAGCACATTGAACAGCCCTGAGACCAGGTAGACGTGCATCCAGTCGAACATAATGCAGTCTATCAGCTTGGGGCCATAGGCTGCATGGGCCAGTAAGCCCATGGGTTTAAAGTTAAAACCCAGGGCAGTCTGCAGCTTTTCGAACTTTGTCTTGGTCTGCAAGGGCTTCTGCTCAGCGAGGTAGTCCATATAGGCTTTGATGGACTCCTTCGTCTGGCGACGAAATCTGGAAATGTCGGTCTCCAGGCTGGATACTTGTGTGCCCCGACTGCTGGCAGCAACGTGCGACTTGTGGTCGACTGCATTCTGGCAGTGCACACAGAACACGAGTCCAGAAGCACCCTTGTTGCAGAGGGTTTGCTTTATAGCAGCTTCGTCGGAGATTAGTATGCCAAGATCGGCAAACAGAGGGGGAGAGCCGATGGGGCAGTTGACCAGAAGTCCCTGCCGCCAATCGGGGGTCTCGAAAAAAAACCTGGCCAGCTGGCGGAACAAAACCGCCATCCCCCCCATGTCTGCGACCACGGTGCTGCGAACCGCCGTCAAGGTAAACCAGCACGACTCGCAGGACATCGCATGGGCTCCCAGTTCTTGCAGGGACCAATAGATGACCTGGGCCTTGCGACGGTTCACGTGCTTCAGTTGATTGCCCGGTGCGATTTCGTCCGAATACCAAATCAGAGTCCAAGGCTTCTCGTAGGTCGGCGGCTTCAGTGCCATTTGCTTCTGCACGAGCTGGCCGAAGGCTGCACAGTGCTCGCATGCCCAAGCCAGCATTGCAGCTGGACTCAAAATCGGAATTGTAACATCGGTGCCGTCTTCCTTCTGAAGTGTGGGCTCGATGTAGATGGGCCCATAAGGGGTAGCATGAGCATGCAGCAGTTCTTCACGAGCTCTTTTCACCGAGCTCCGGCCTGTAGCTGCAGGTAGCTCATCCAGCTCACGAATCTCCTTCAGGATCTGAGCGAGGGCTCTTTGGGTGGTGAAAACTTTCCTTCCCAATTGCGACAACGGGTTGGCCGATTTGGATCCCGACGATTGGGAAGCCATGTGGTCTGCTTGCGAGCTTTATACAGCCCTGCAAAAGCGACCAAAGTTGTTTCAGGACTCTCTGATATGTGCATGTTCTGGATAAACCCCATTGCAGTGTGATTGCATATATGTGTGTATATAATATGTACATATATATATATATGTGTGTATACACGAAACCCATAAACTGTCATAACATGCCATATGTATATACATATATTATATATACAGTGTATAAAGTACATACAAACACGAACTTTATAAAACCCTAAACCCTTAAACCCTAAACCCTCAACCCTCAAATACACTCTGCAACACATGGACATGATCCTCGATCTGGGCATCATGCAAGCTGTCGAAGCTATCATCCACATCGCTCGTGCAGACATGTGCATGTGCGGGCAAACCACACATTTTGCGGCTCAGTCGAATCCTAAGTCGCTGCATATACTACGAGATTGCCATGCAAGCCTCCGTGCACACGGCATAGAGACTGTTCTGTCCGTGCACAAAGTTCGTTGAGGCTGATGGCACTGAAACCCCGGGTGAATGGAACAACGGTGCACCATGGCACCACAGATAAACACATATAGACCTGAGACGGTGCAGGATGTCTCTGCAGTCCCCGTGATTTCTTGCCGTATACGTGCACGGCCATTGCCGTCTGTGTATACGGACATCACTGCAGAAGTCACCTGTACAGTCTGCAAGAAAGGCATATAGACATGCATACATGTTCCTATATAGACTGTATATACATCTACATAGATATAGACTGCACACTTCGCATACAGAGACACATGTCATGTCTGCATGCCAACCAAAATCACTTCTTGAAGCACGACGGACAACAGCCCGGTCGGTTGCGGCATTTGCCGCAGCCGTTGGGTCGCAATTTCAACCTCTTGCTCATGCTCGGAATCTTGATGCCCGGCTTGGGCTGGGACTGCGACTTCGCCTTCGCTGCCGGCTTCTTCTTCGGCTGCACACTCTTCGTCTGCTGGAGCTTTGCGGCAGGCTTTTTCCGGGGCTTCTCAGTCTCCTCATCTTCCTCATCTCCCTCTGCTGGTGTTTTGTTGGCATTCCATGCAGCAAGCATCTGACGAGCCTGCTCGGCCGGACCCACAGGCTCCTGCCCAGCCTTGGGCACAGCAAGCTGCTGATCGTGAGGCTGCACCGGGCATGCGGCCACAGCAAGCTGCTGCTGATGAGGCTGCACCGGGCTGGCGGCCACAGCAAGCTGCTGATGATGAGGCTGCACCGGGCTTGAAACACGATGGCTGGACTCTGGAGAGTCGTGCGGTGGGCTCGTCGTCGCCATCATGCTTGTAGCCCGATTTGGACTGGTTTCGTTGCAGCCGGCTTTTCCCAACAACTTGAAGCCTGGCAGTTGCGAGCTGCTGGACTGCTGCTGAAACTGCTGCATGCATGTCGACATGCAGCTCATCAGTCCCATCATGCTCATGCCGTTGCCGTCGGCCATCATCTTCTTCATCAGGCTGTGATTCATCATGTTGTTGCCAACGATGTTGCTGCTGCTGCTGAGGGACTTGTGACTGCCTCGCAGAGGACCATGGGCAACAAGGCTCGAAGCAGGGAGCTCGCCTGCTTCAGCCTTTTCAAAGTGACTGCGGTAGATCTCGGGCAACAAGGCTGGCTCCTTGTACACGGCCACAAATTCGTTGTCCTTGGCATCCTTGTTCTTTTTGAGCCTGCTTTTGATGATGGTTTTCAGCTTCTTCACAGCCCCGTGAAAATCATCAGGAGACTCAAGGCCAGCTGACTGCATTGTTGCCATCGTTGAGACGATATGACCTGTCGCCTTCTCCGATGGCCAATACATGCCCATCTTCTCCATGATCTCGGCGATGTGATTGCACCTTGAGTGCACTCCAGCACTGGCCTCGGCCAGGACTTGCTTGTCTTCAGCTGACAAAAAGCAGAAGAAGTTGTCGACTTCCTGGGTCTGGTTGCCCTTCTTCTTCTTGCCAGCAGCCATCATCCCCGACGAGACGGAGTTGGAGACTGCTTTTCCAAGCTCCTTTTTCTGGCTCTCGTTCCAGGGCCCTTGCTGGATCAAGCTGCACAGCTCAGAGGCCTCTTGCATGGTCACTTTGTGTTGGGAGATGGCTCGCACGGCACAGTCTTTCTGTGCAGCAAGCATGCCGTCGAAGTGATCGCCCATGATCGGCTTCTGCTTGTGGAGCATGTCATGGAGCTGGTTCAAGAAGGCGGCTGCCATGGCGAGAGGAAAGCAGGAATCCCTGAAAAGTTGTCCTGCTGTGGCGAGCTAGGAAAGCCCTGCCTGCGAACAACTCAGGATTCCTGCATGCATTTCTTGCACGACAACCATGCATATACATGTATGTAGTGACACAACCTGCACACTGAGCACTCGATCTTTCCTCTCCTCATTCAAGAATCAAAACAGTGGCA